CTCAATCTTGGCATGATAGACATTTTGGATCAGATAATTTTGTGTTATGAGGATTATCCTGGGCTTAGGAGCATCCCTAACTACTAGATGACAGAGGTATCCTCTTACCCAAGTTGTAATAACTAACAATGTCTCTAGACACTGTCACATAAAATTGCCCTGGTTGAACTACTGCCCTAAATACTCTTCCTGGAAATAACACCCAATAATTAGATTTAATTCTACTTATGCTATAAAATTCCACTTATGTGCCAGGCACAATTCTAAGTATATAATATGAGTTAAATCATTAAAGTCTTACCACTTTATGAAACAAATAAATTAATATACCTCCATTTTATAGATTAAGAATCTGTAAAACAGAGAAGTGGAGTGATTCATCCAGGGTCATGCAGCAAGTCAGTGGTGATGACAACTCCAGTCCTGATCGCTGCCCTGAACTTCAGACTCCTGTGAATAACTACCTCTGCTGGGCATCCCAGGTAATGTTCACTCAAGATGCCCAAAAGTCTTCCTCCACAAGAGCAGGTATTTCTGTATTTCTTATGTCAGTTAATGGCACAACTTTTCTTTTGTTGTTGATCCTCACCAGAGGATATTTTTCCATTGATTTTTAGGGAGAATGGACGAGAGAGGGAAAGACAGAAACACATCGATTTGTTGCCTCGCATGAGCTCTTGACTAGAGCGTGGGCCAGGGAGAAACCTCAACCAAGGTACGTGCCCTTGACTGAAACTGAACCCGGGACCCTTTGGTCTGTAGGTTGAGCTGAATCCACTGAGCCAAACTGGCACAACTTTTACAATTAACCTTTCTGTGCCTCAGTGTAACTGGTTGCCTGTCATTCTAGATTCTGCTTGGATAATCTTATTTATTCCTCAATCTAATCATTGGTGTCCTAAAAACTTTATTTCCTAATTAATCAAATATGTCTTCTTTTTCTTTCAGTGTTCCTGTCCTCATTAAGGCCCTAATCTTTCCTCCATACTATCATAACCAACTCTCATTTGGTATCCTGTTTCTAGCCCTCAAAATTATCTTCTATATTTCTGCTGAAGTAATTTACCAAAAGCACAAATTTGTCCATGACATTTTATGGCTTAAAGCTTTTTATTGACTATTGTTAACTAAGAATAAAGTGCAGGTTCCTTAGCATGGCTGTTAAATACATGACCCTTTCCATCCAGAGTCTCATCTTCTGTCACCCCCTGAATCATACTTTGCTGTTTAGCAGTATTCTGCTCTTTGTTATGTTCTGAGCATACTATGCTACTTCATGCCTTTGACTATTGTCATCTTATGGTTTTGCTCTTTTTTTGTTTTGTTAATCCTTATCTTTCTTCCAACGATTTTTAGAAATAGTGGAAAGGCTGGGTGGGGGGGGGAGGGGAGGAGGGAGAAGGAGGGGAAAAGAGAGAGGGGGGGAGAGAAAAGAGAGAGAGAGAGAGAGAGAGAGAGAGAGACACTGATGTGAAAGAGAGAGACATATCGATTGGTTGCCTCCTGCATGCATGCGACTGTTTATCGAACATGCAACCCAGGTACTTTCCTTTGACCAGTAAGTGAAACTGAGACCCTTCACTCTAATCACTGAGCACACCAGCCAGGACCAAAATGCTTCTTTTTAACTACTTGACCAGGTAAATATTAGGTCTAGTAACAATTAATGTCGTTTCTAATACTTTTTTAAATCGAATTTATTTAAACAATACAACAAAATTTAATCAACAATATAGTTGCCGTTGTTTTCTACTACTTGTGCCCAACGCTCAGGAAGCATTTTAATCCCTCTGTTGTAAAATTCTTGTGATTTTGATGCAAAAAATTCGGTCAACGCATTTTTGAGGCATTCTTCATTATTAAATTTTTTTCCAAGAAGAAAGTTTTGCAAAGAATGAAACAAATGGTAATCGGAAGGGGCAATATCAGGAGAATATGCAGGTTGAGGGAGAACTTCCCATTCCAACTGGCGCAGTTTTTCAGCAGTGATTCTTGCAGTATGCGGTCGTGCGTTATCGTGGTGAAGAATTACGCCCTTCCGATTAATCAGCGCGGATTCTTTTTCTCTTAAAGCTTGGGCTAACCTTTCCAATTGGGCACTATACACTGCACTTGTAATGGTTTGGTTAGATGGTAAAAGTTCATAATGAAGAATTCCTTTAAAATTCCACCAAACACACAACATCACTTTTTTCGCATGCAAGTCAGGTTTTGGCGTGGGCTGCGGAGCCTCATTTTTGTCCAACCATTGAGGCCGCCTTTTCAAATTAACATACAGCACCAATTTTTCACCTCCGGTAACAATTTGCTCTAAAAACGGCCAACGGTTTTGACGAGAGAGGAGCGAACTGCAAATTGTGACTCTTTGATTACGGTTGTTGTCGGTCAACTCATGAGGAACCCATTTTCCAAACTTTTGGACTTTGCCAAGTGCACGCAATTGATTGGAAATTGTTTTTTGTGAACAATTTAAAGTTGTCGCAAGCTCTTGTTGGGTAATTTGAGGATTTTGCACCAAAAGAGCTTGAAGAGCTTCTTGATCAAAATTGGACACATGTCCTCGACCACTCGTCATCTAATGAAAAATTTCCCTCGTGAAATTTCTCCAACCAACGCTGGCATTTTCTGGCGCTAACTGCATCTTGACCAAGAGCACTACAGATGTTTTTTGCAGCCTCACTTGCTTTTCTTCCTAATTGGAACTCGTAAAGCATGCAGTGCCGAATATGCTCTTCATCTGCCATCTTCTTAGCCCTAGTTTTGCAACAAAAACCAAACCAAACACAACTTTTTCAAGCAAAACTTGTTAACTGCACTTCACACGTACTGTAGATACCACGTGTTTGAAGGTTATGTCAATACAAGTCAACGCCAAGCAAGATTTTAAATGAATGTTTAAAAACGACATTAATTATTACTAGACCTGATATAACCTCACCAGTGTGACTTAGATACTGTTCGCAAATTTATAGGCAGAGTTCCCTTTCCATGCAGTTATCTGAAGATCCGTTACTGCTTGAGAGGTTTAGTGTTCCGTTGGCTAGCCCAAGTTGTTCTGATCTACAAATCATAGATAGGGCCTGCCAGCTCAAACAGAAGGGGGGTGTGTGTGTGGGGACTACCTAACCAGCTCTGTTCTTGGGATAGACTTTGCTCTTAAGAACCCAATCCACAGGCTGGCCAATCATCAAGAATAAGACATGGTGTAATTAAATGAACTGGTCTTATCAGATTCTTGCTTTGGGAATTAATTTCAAATGCAAAGAGGATTTGGTAGTTACTAGAAGACACCAAATCTAATACATTCAGAGAGAAAAATCTGTAAAATACACACAGCAGTGTTGGGTCTGAAGTTACAAGGAAGCAGATTAGAGCGCTGAAGCTTTGAAGTCCACAAAAGGTATAGAAAGTGAAGAGTAAGAATAAGAGACTCAACAGCAAATTGGGAGAATGGGACAGACAAGGAAAAAGTTGAGTGCTAAATTAGGATGTAAAAATTTAAAGTCTCACTCTCTTGTTTCTGCTAATATCCTAAAAGCAGGATTTCCATCTGGAGAGACCTGAATAAACATTTCAGCTCCTGAAGTTTTTGTGAGACCTTTATTCCTTTACTAGTGGCCCAGTGCATGAATTTGTGCACATTGAAAGGAAATTAGAATATTTTAATAGAAGTGTCAACCAAATTCATGATAGACAATGACAGATGGAAACACATGTGTGTGATTTGTGCCAGTGAAAGCTTTATATACATATAAGCTTGCTTAATTAGATCTGCTTTCTGATTTAGCTAAACTTTTTCCAGTCTAGTGAAGCAACCCAACTTCTCTTTCTAGTAGTTGTTAGTAAATATCAACATGAAGCAGATTTATTATGTAGATCAAGCAGGGAGAACAAAGGATAAAATATTTAACTGCAGTAGTGTTTGACTATATTCTGTGCAATGAGAAAACCTGAAGTCATTTTCAAGACCCACCATTTCTAACTTCTTTTCAGTCAGGTCAAGGTTCTAAGCTTTCTAAATGTTTGTTTTTTGGCTAAAGAAAATAGGATTCCACTGAGTCTCCTATCTGCCTACTTCAAGACTTCTGTGAGGACCAAAGGAGATGAGGCATGGGAAAATGCTTCACAGTCATTTGTTTACAGTGTAAGATGTTTCCACCTGGCTATAAAGCAAATTGTGTTCCTGGGTTGAAGAAACTCCAAGGAGGCTAGTTGCTACAGAGAGGAAGCCAGGCATTGCTGCGTGACATCATTACAAGGTGCCCCCAGCCACCGTTTCCATTTCAGGGCTGGGCTGTGGGCTGGCATTTTGTGCCATGGGGGGTGTGTGTGGTGGTGGTGGAGGGGGGTCTAGGCAGAGTGGGCTGTTGCTCTGGGGTGGTGGCGGGGCCTGTGTCCCACTTGGGGGAAGCCGAGTGTTGGTTTGTGGGCTCCAGGTCCACACTGCCATTTCTCTGTAAATGGCCAGGGAACCTCACCACAGCTCCTGTGTTAAGTGTCTGCCCCTGGTGGTCAGTGTGTGTCATAGCCACCGGTGGGACAGGCAGAGGGACACTATTAGCTATAGATATAGATATAGATAGATAGCTCCTTGCGTCCTCAACCCTATTGCCACCAATTAGGCCAAAAAGAACTAATGAAGACACAGGACGTGGATAGGGTGAGCCTTCAACTTGTGCACATGAGCTCCTGACAGGTCACTCCTGTCAACTCTTCCAATTCGGTGGGAAGTTCTATGTATGCAACAAACTGGTGCTAAATAAAGTCAGCACTTGCAGCTTTCACATCCATCCGTCCCACTGCAGAAACACACCACTAACGCTCCCTGAGCACGAACCGTCACAAGATCTGTCTTCCCAGACCACAAGGAAGGGCGAGTCCCTGCGAGGTTCCAGAGGGCCCGCTCCGCAGGGTCCCCTCGTTGGCACGGGATGCCGGCGCGGGACCGAGGCTCCGCGCAGCACCCCCGGCCCTCCCGGCCCCGCCGCCCGCCGGGTCACCTGTAATTGTAGGCGCTGAATTGCTTGCTCTCTCTCAGCATCGCTCGGTACAAGTCTAACACTCGTGCTCGGCTGGAGGCTGCCATTTTGGGAAGAAAAAAATAAGTGGGTCCTCTTCGCGGAGGTTCCGAGTGTAACCGAGTCACAAAGTTCCAGCCTGAGGGAACCGCGCAGGACCCCCAAGGCAGTGAGGTTCGGTTAGGCCGGGCCGGGCCTCAGCCTGGGCGAGCAGCGCCGCCGCCTCCGGCCGCAGTGGACCGGGCCCGGTGTCCTCGGAACTCCGGAGGCGGCGCAGGCGGGCTGCGGACAGCTAAGGGGGAGGCGCCCTCGGGGAAGGCGTTCCTGCTCGGGCCGCTCCCCTCCTCCTCCCCCTCCCCCCGCCCCAAGGCTCCGCTGGTAGCCACGCGGGGAGCGGGCTGAGGCGCGGGGAGGGAGGGGGCCGCTGAGGCCACAGAGCGAGGGCCTGGGGTGGGACCCGGGGGCCGGGCCGCCTGTGCACGGAGCCACGCTCCTCGGGACGGAGGTCCGGGGCTCGAGTACTGAGGACGTGCCGAGGGTCAAAGAAAGCCTTCTCGAACTGCGGGGTTCATGGAGAGGACACTGATTTCGGGGTCATGAAGGGGATAAAGGGTTTCGCTGGAAAGCGCCCAGGTGCACCTTCGCCGGACGCCTGGCCGCGTTGCCCGGGTAACTGAGCGCGCGCCTGGCGGACGTCCCGCCCCGGGCTGTGGGAGCCCCGGCCCCGCTGGGGCTGCCCTTAGCACTTGCCTGAAAGGCCATGCCGGGTTTCCAGGCCCTTTAGCCCTGTCACGCTCTCCCCGTGGGCACCGAGTAGGGACAACTCGCTGCAGGCCGGACCTATGGCGTGGCGGGTGCGGAGTCGACAGGCCAGGGATCCCCTGGCGCTCCGGCTCCCGCTCAGGCCTACCGACTAAGGGGCCTGCCGGGCAAGGCCCGCCTTTTTGTCAAAATGGCCGCGCCCAGCGTCCCCCAGTGGGAGCTGTGAGGTGGGCGTGAGAGCCTTCCACAGGAGCGCGAGCGGGCCCACCGCGCTCCAGAGGTTAACCCCCCAGGTCCGAGTCTCCCGGCCAGCGGCGGGTGAGTGCCGGCCTCGCTGCAGCGCGTGGGCAGCGTGGCAGGGAGTTACGTGACCATTGATTTCCCCTTTTTACAGGGTATGGATTGAACTCTCAGGGTTTTGCTTTGGAGTCGTGAGTCCTGTAGAGTTTTGTCATCTGGTAAATGTGTATACAGGTTGGGTAGGTTGGGCTGTAGGCGTGGGGGATTAACCTGGGTAGGAACTTGAGTGATCCAAGCACTCTGTTGCTGACCAAGTTTCTCTTGTACCGAAGACCCAACTCTCCTGAACTCCGTGTTTCAGCGGGTGGTGAAGGGGGTCGTTCTAGTCCTTGAAGGTGGACGTGGCGCGGGGAAGCGTGATCTAGTTCTCGTCACTGTGTTTGCCAAGCACCTGTCTTTGGAATCTTTCGTTACGTAATAAACGTCAAGAAGAAGCACAGTTACAGTAAGGACTACTACCCCTGTATACGTAAAAAAAAAAAAAAAAAAAAAAAAAGTTTGCATTAGCATCCATCTTAATCCAAACACTGAATTGCGGTTTTGTTTCATCTGTTTAAGTGTATCTGGTTTTGAAATTGTTCGCGGCACCTCTCACTGACACCAGAGAGGTGTTGCTGGGCAGCCCCGAGTTGGTGGGAGAGGGTCCCAGCTTGGATCCTTGTCTTCTCATATAAATAATTTGTACAGAGACCTGGACTACATTCTGAAAAGCCAATTTATTAAAAACAATGATAGCATGCCTTTATTAAAAAAGCAAAGCAAGCAATCTATACATCTGGCTTACCAAGAGCAGAGGGGCTCTCAGCTAATATGAAGAACAAGTTGGATGGGGGTCAGAGGTGTACCCGTTAATAATTCGGATTTTGTAATAAAAGAAAACATGATCATTTCAAGAGAAACATCAAAAGTGCTTTATTCAAAGTAATGTCCATTGCTAGATACACATTTTCCCCATTTTTCAAGTAATGTGTGAATACAGTCGCAATAGGAATTTTCTTGTTTTGAGGCAAACCATTCAGAGACCGGATTTTCCACTTCTTACTACATTTTGAGATGCTGCTTAGAAAGTGCATGTGCCATTGATCAGAACAAGTGGTGAATACGGCTGGTGCGTTAATACTTCCCAGGCAAGCAAGGTCTTTTTTAACTTGTCTTTAACTAGTTTTGAAATGTGTGATGGTTTGTCATTATGAAGCAAAATTATTTTGTCAAGTCTTCTGGCACATTCTGGTTGTTTCATGATGAAAGCATGGTTCATATTGTTATTGGTAGCTATCAGTATTAACTGTTTCACCTGGTTTTAGAAGCTCATAATACACCACGTATCTACTGATCCCACCAATCACAGAGCATTGTCTTCTTTCCCAAGTGATTTGGCCTTGCACTCGATGTTGATAGTTGACCTCGCTCACCATGATTTTGTGTGTTTGGGATTCTCAAAATCTACTTTTTATCGCCAGTCACAACTCGATGCAAAAGAGACTTACTTTCATGCCGTTGAAGTTGAAGCAACATTTTACTAATGACTTTTTAGTTTTCCATTTGTCTTTCATTCAGTTGACGTGGCACCCATTTTCCTTCCTTTAAAATCTTCCCTATTGCTTGTAAATGATTGGAAATTGTTTGCTGAGCAACGTTTAATCTTTCTGCTGGTTGTTTTTGAGTTTGACACGCATCTTCAATAGTGCTTGTAATTGTTGATCTTCAAGCTTTATCGGTTAACTTGGATGTTGTTTGTCTTTCACATCGAAATAATCACTTTAAAGAGTTTAAACCAGCGTTCACAAGTATCTTGAGATGAAGCCTGTTCACCGTAAGCTTCCCGAAGTATATGATAACTTTTTCTTCAAAATAAGGTAATGAATTAAAACTTCCGTCAAATGCTCTTTTTTTTTGGCATGAAATTTGACATTTTTAAGCGTGAAAATATCTATGATATTAATAACTTCAGCAAATTTGACATATAAAGTTTTGAAGCTTGCTGTCAATACAACAAAATAGTATACATATAAAATCACATATATATCAACATATGTGTAACTCCATTTATTGAAAAAAAATCCGCATTATTAACTGGTAAACCTAGTATATACACTCCTGTCTATAGATCTTAGAATTCCTCTGCTGAATATCTTGGTACATATTAATTCTCAAGGTCCCTTTTTACTTTAGTGTGGCCTTCCCAGAATTCATGAGAAGCACCTGGCACTTTATCTGCTAAGCTTGAGACTGGTGTCTTCTCTGCTTTGGGAGTAAAACTGCATCCCCCTTCCCCCACTTTCCTTTCTGCAGTTTCTCCTTAGGGAGGTTTTTAACCTTTTGCTCTCAAGTGTTCTTAGTTGGGGAAGATAATGACTTGTTAGTCACAAGCTGTCTGCAAGTTGCCCATACTGTTTGGCCTTGTTTTAACGTTCCTACTTCATTTTCCCTATTCCTCCTGCCCTGGAGTCCTGTAACAAAATGACACTTAGTTTATGTCAATATATCCTTGTATTTTCAGGAACTTAAAGGGTAAGAGACACTTCTCTGACCTTACCACATTTACCACATATATAATACTTTTCATATTACTCGTTAGAATGCAATGGTATTTTAAATAAAATGCATGGAAGAGAAAATACTTTTATTGAAATCCCTTTAAGCTTACTATTTGAATTTTTAAGCGTCTCATACATCAGTGAACCTCTAAGTTTTTTTTTTTTTCTTCTTCTTAATTTTTATTGTTCATATTATTACAAATGTCCCTTCCGCCCCCCCTTCCCACCCCACCCTCTGCCCTTTCCCCACCCCCCATTGTCCTCATCCATAGGTGCACAGTTTATGTTCAGTCTCTTCCCATATCCCCCTCTCCCCTTTTCCCCAAGAATCATCAGTTCACTCCCCTTCCATACCTCTGATTCTATTATATTCAACAGTTAATATTGTTCCTCAGATTTTTTTTTTTTAATTTCCTTGGTTTTTAGATTCACTTGTTGATAGTTACGTATTTGTTGTTCATGATTTTTATCTTTATTTACTTTCTCTTCTGAAAGAACCCCCTTCAGCAATTCATATAATTCTGGTTTGGTGGTGATGAACTCCTTTAGCTTTTTTTTATTAGTGAAGCTCTTTATCTGACCTTCGAATCTGAGTGATAGCTTTGCTGGATAGATTATCTTTGGCTGTAGGTTCTTACTATTCATCACCTTGAATATTTCTTGCCATTCCTGTCGGGCCTGCATGGTTTCTGTTGAGAAGTCAGCTGACAATCGTATGGGTGCTCCTTTATAGGTAACTACCTGCTTAGCTCTTGCTGCTTTTAATATTTTCTCTTTGTCTTTTGCTCTTGGAATCTTAATTATGATTTGTCTTGGTGTGGTCCTCTTTGGATTCCTTTTATTTGGAGTTCTGTGTGCTTCCTGGACTTGTAAGTCCAATTCTTTCCCCAGGTGGGGGAAGTTTTCTGTCACTATTTCTTTCAATATGTTTTCGATATCTTGCTCTCTCTCATCTTCTGGGACCCCCATAATTCTGATGTTGGATCGTTTGAAGTTGTCCCAGAGGTTTCTTACATCATCTTCAATTTTCTGGATTCTCTTGCCTTCTAGCTTCTCAGAGGAGTATCTTCTGGCTCTTTATGTTCCAAATCTTTGACTTGATTCTCAATTTTCTGGATTTTCTTGCCTTCTAGCTTCTGCAGAGGAGTTTCTTCTGGCTCTTTATGTTCCAAATCTTTGACTTGATTCTTGTGATCTTCTATTCTGTTTTTAGGACTCTATATAATAGTTTTTATTTCAGACAATGTATTCTTCATTTCTTGTTGATTCCTTATCATTTCTTGTTGATCCCTTATCATATCTTGATGACTCCTTATTAATTCTAGTTGATCACTTTTCATATCCTCATAGGTCTTATCCATCTTTTCTAGGAAATTCTTGAAAAACCTTATAAGCGTAGATTTGAACTCTATATCCAGTCGCTTTTTGTCCTCCATTTCTTTCCTTTGTGATCTATTTGGTTTAGGCAT